AAAAAGTGAACCCCATACAAAAAAAAAAAAAAAAAAAAAAAGAAAAAAAGAAAAAAAGAAAAATTACTTTTTCCCCAAATAGAGATTGGACAGTTTTCACTCATTATGCAAAGTTTTTAAGCTATGCATAAATTGAATTTAATTTTGTTGCTTTAGATTTAATAATTATTTCCTTCAAAAATGATTATCAGTATTTATCCTCTCCCCAGCCCATGTTCCTTAGGCATGCTAGGCAAGAGCTCTACCACCAAGCTAACTCCAACTCCAATCAGTAGTACTCGCACCCCTTTTCCCCCTTTCTCCCCTTCTCTTCCTTTGTCTTCGTATCTCCCTCTCCCCTTTACCTCCTCCCCCTCTTTTTCTTTCTGTAGTGGGGATTGAACCAGGACCTCATTCATGCTGGGCAACTGCTGGGCTTTACCACTGAGCTGCATCCCCAACCCTTTTTACTTTGAGAATAGATCTCGCTAACTGCCCAGGTTGGCTTTGTTTGTTTTTGAGACAGGGTCTCACTATGAAGCTGAGACTGACCTGGAACTCACTCTATAGCCTAGGCTGGTCTCAAACTCACAGCAGTCCTCCTGCCTCAGCCTCCCAAGTGCTGGAATTACAGGCATGCACCACCATGCCCAGCCAGGTTGGCTATGAATTTGCAGTCTTCCTCCCTCAGCTTCCCCAGTAGCTGGGAGTAGCAGGGATTATAAGCATGCATCCCATGCTATCTACCATATGTTCATGAGTAATGTCCATAGAACTCTTGGTGATGAATATAGTCAAGAGTTACACTGCTGGAGAGATGTAGGGGTCAAGAAGGCATTATGAACATTTTATTTATATGAAGTTGCATAAGTGTGCCCAATTTAAATTCTTAATCTCAGAATTTATGAATAAATTGAGAATGCTTATGAATCTCCAGGGGGGAAAAATGCTAAACTTTAGGAGTCATGAGATACAGAATTAGATCATATTATCCTTGCCTGATATTATTATGCTTCATTTGCCATATGAATGAGTTTCAAGCAGAATATGGAATAGCTAATTTAAAATAGAACAATTGAATTTCTGCTAGAGTTGAAATGCTATAAATCAGTAACAAAACTTTTCACTTCTATGAAATTCTGTGTTTAATAGCAAGTGTGAGCACGTATCTGAATATAAGGGGCTTACTCTTTTTTGTGTGTGTGCTGCAGATTGAATTCAGGGCTTTGCACATTTTAATCTATATGCTTTACCAATTAGCTACACTCCTAGCGCTGAATGTAAGACTTTAAAAAATATCTTTGTATATTGCAGTGTGAGGATTTGACTCCAAGGCCTTTTGTTTGCTAGGCAGGTTACTTTACCATGCATGAGCTACATCCTTAGACCCAATGTAAGATTTTTATGTGGAGCAAATTTATCTTTGTATCCTTTATGTTTCCTTTCATTCATGAGTATCTTTAAACTGCTGCCTCGTGCCATATATCTTGGAATAAAAGCTTTAGAACACTTATGGAAAAGTGGTGGTTTAATGCAGCCTTAATTATTTCATGGTGTAAATTAAACTCTTAAATGAGAGTGGTTAGGTTTTTACAGATGGGCAGGCATGAGTCTAGCTGAGAACAGATTATTCTGCTGTGATAGAGACATCATTCAAACCTGCATGCCTCTTGTCAACTGCCTGTGGTGGCACAGTGAGATAAATTGATCTGTAATGTTTCTCGAGTATGTCCCTATTGTTAGCCATATTGTAACATACAGTACATATTGTGAGCAGACGGCTTGTGTGGGTTGGATTCCACCTCAGCCTAAACTGCTTGCTGGAAGTGAGCTTGAATTTTGAGTTTGTAGCTTCCTCACTTAATAGTTGTGTGACCTTGGGTTGACAAATTGTTAATCTCTGTGCCTGTTGCCATATTAGGAAAGTGAAGATTATAAAAGTACTTTGTAAATTAGTTCTTGTGTGAATTTAGTAGCTAATATATGTATAATGTATATAGAAGACTACCTGATACTTAATAAGTTCGCCACCACTGTCATCATCATTAACTAATTTAAGCTGAGATTAATTTCCTTCTCCTGAAACTAGAAAGATACTGATATACTTCAATTTTTTGTTTGTTTGTTTTTTGGTACTGGGCACTGAACTTGGGTCCTTGTGCTTGCAAGGTAGGCGCAGTACTACTGAGCTAAATCTCCAGCCTACAGACTTTTGATTTGTAAAATCTGCCTTCAAATTTAAGCTGATTCAACATTATATAATCTCTACAAGGAATGAAAAAAAAAACAGATTTTTCTACCCACCATGGTCTACTGGGGATCTCCCGCTGGAGCTGCATGCATCCCCAGGCCTAAGAAACTTATGGTTGAATGAAAGAAACTGAGAGGCAAAATAATGTGTACATTCTACGTTTTGTGTGAAAGTTTGCTCAGTATAGCATAAAATATCTGGAATACTGCACAAGAAGTAGTATGCACTATTTTTATTTGTTGCTGGAGGGAAGGGGAATTGGGTGGCTGGAAGCAAGGGTAGGAAATTTTTATTGTATAATTTTTTGATTGTTGAACCATATGAATGTATTCTCTACTAAAGACATAAAATTAAAAATAAAACAGCTATTTTGAAATGTAGACAAATTTTACTTACAAACATTTCTTTTTGTCCTCAAATTCACATTTAATAGGACTTTTAGAATTCCTATTTTAGTTGCTTTGCTTTTTTCTTTTGGTGATGCTGGGGCTTTCTCATGTTAGGCACTGAGCTATACCCCGAGGTCCTGTTGTTTTTTTTAAGTCTACTTTCCAACATTAAATTAAGGATGCTGTTTTGTCCTCCTTCAGGGATTTGAGTCATAATCGATTATCTAACTGGAACATCAGCTTGGAATCACAAACATTACAGGAAGTGTAAGTTATTTTTATTTATTTGATATTAAATTCTTTGAAGTGATTTGGGTATATTCAGTCCAGGGACACTTAAAAAAATTGAAGGGAAAATTTTTATAAAAGAAATTGTTTAAGAATCTAAACTATTGTCTTTGGTTTTATTATCACAAACTATTTGGGCATAATTATTCAAGCTAACTTGAGAAAATTGTTCTATTTCCCAGGGGCCAAAAGCAAGATTTCTTTCTTCTACAGAGTAAATAGTTTTGTATTTTTTTTTGGCCAAGTTTTGGCCATGGAACTATCTTGTATAAACTGATTCAGTGTTTTAATGTGTAGTCTAAGATGGAAGCATCCATGTCTACAGTAGGTTAATATGAAAGAGTATTTTGGATATTATTTGAGAATATGATTGTTGATATAATTCAATTTTCTTCTTAACTGACGTTTTTCTCTTTAATGAAATATATATATAAAATTGTGAGAGAATTTTCAGAAAGTATATATGTATGTAGTACTGGAGATTGAACCAAGGGCCTTTTTACTGAACTAAATCCTAGTCCTTTTATATTTTTTAGTTTGAAACAGGATCCCTAACTTGCCGTCTCTTTCCTCAGTCTTCCTATGGGAGCACTTAATATCAAATTATTGCATTGTGATGTTTCCAGGGGCACAATTATTTGAAGTATGTAGTCCTGTTTGCCTCTTTACTAAATACTCTCAGAACCTTCAGGCCTCTTTTTTCTTTAGTTCTTTGTTGACAGAATGATTTGTTCATGTTTTTGTCCCTGCATTTTTTTCTCCAAATATATGTTCCTAATTTGTTATGGAACTGAATAAACAGGTGACAAGTCTGTTGAGTGAATGAGTAGGTACTGAGGAAAGGCCTTAAGGTGCTTACTGGGAAACACATGAGCTTTATTGCATGGACTTTGTAACTGGTTTCTTGGAGACAGTATGATTTGGTTTCTTTTCTATAGTCTAGATTGTTGAGGTTCTTCAGTGATTAAAAAATGGTTATTGAGGCCGTGGATTTAGCTCAGTGATTCTGGCGCCTGCCTAGCAAGGGCAAGGACCTGAGTTTGATCTCTGGTACCCCCCCCCAAAAAAGTTAATGAAATGTAATTGTATAGATTTGTTCCTTAATCATTGTGATAGTCTGTTGAAAGGTCTGCTTGGGAATAGATGTAACATGTCATGTTGTGTGTAAAAGTGATCATAAGTTTGATCTCTGAATGGACAGATTTTTTGTTTGTAGTCCTAAACAACATTCCTTAAGTTTACGCCTACGTGTGCTCGGTTGGGCACAGGAGGGAAGATTGAGATCTGGATGAACTCAGTTCCCGTAGGGACTCAAATTAACTGTCTTCAACTTTCCTGTGACTACAACTATTTAATGTGCAAAATATTTCCTATCCTTTCTTATATTGATATCAATAGTAAATGAGCACTATGAAAAATTTTATTAAAATTTCTACTTTCTCATTTTTATCTTAGTCTCTCTCTTTTTTTGGGGGGGACAGGGTCTCATTATGTAGTTGAGACTGACCTGGAACTCACTGTATAGCCCAGGCTATACTCACAGTGATCCTCCTGCCTCAGCCTCCCGAGTGCTGGGATTACAGGCATACACCACCATGCCCGGCTAATCTTAGTTTCTTTTTGAATAATAAGCTTTCTCAAATTTAGCACCTATCCTAAAGAATATGGCTTAGTCAGAAAACCGAATTTAAGAGGTAGCATTTCCCTCAGTAAAGTTTTAAATCTGTTTTTCCTCTGGCCTAGGAAAATGAATTACAATGAGTTATCAGAAATCCCGTATTTTGGAGAGCCAACATCTAATATCACTGTACTTTCATTGTAAGTAATTGAGATTTCAAATCTTTCACTTAAATTAAGATTAGTGCATAGGTTTTCTTTTTCTTTCTTTTTTAAGTATTCATGTTATTGATCCTGATTAGTTAGCATCCTTGTAGTCAGGAGTAGATCACTGGCTATTGCTTTAATATAATCTTTGTTTTGTAGAGTCCATAATTTAATCCCAGAAATAAATGCAGAGGCATTCCAGTTTTATCCTGCTCTTGAGAATTTAGACCTCAGCTCCAATGTAATCTCAGAAATTAAGACGTCTTCATTTCCTCGAATGCAGCTTAAATACCTGTAAGTCAAGTTTAAATTAGATTTATTTTTAAGTTTATTTTTATTATTCATTGTTGCCCCTCTGACCCCAAATTTATTGTGATTTTGGTGTGCATGTGTGAATCAAACCTGGAGATGAGTTTTTAGGGTTGTTATCACCTACCTTCCTCTTAAAAGAAAGAGTATACTATAGGCATTAGGGTAATTTTTGGGATTTCATTCTAGATTTTTCTTTTTAAAATATTTTCCCTTTAAAGTATACTCCAGCCTTATTACAGCTAATTTTGCAGATGAAGAAACAAAGCAGTTAAGTTATTTGTGAAATTGTACGTAGCTGTGTATAGAGCTGGGGCTAGAAGGGTAGAATTTTACTAAATTTTTCTTTTTGCTGTTGTCTTGCTCATCTTAGGAATTTGAGTAATAATAGGATAACTACTTTGGAAGCTGGTTGCTTTGATAATTTATCAAGTTCCTTATTAGTGGTAAAGCTAAACCGGAACCGAATTAGCATGATTCCACCTAAGATCTTCAAGCTGCCTCACCTCCAGTTCTTGTGAGTAACTAAATAGGTGGATTATAAGAAGATAGTTTCTCCTTACAGTGTTTTCTTTTTCTTTTTTAATTGTTGTTAGAGCATTTCAGCAAACCAGTTGTTTGATTGTAAAACTTTTTGTTTAAGGGAGCTTAAAAGAAACAGAATTAAAATTGTGGAAGGCCTTACATTCCAAGGGCTTGACTCCTTAAGATCTTTGAAAATGCAACGGAATGGAATTAGCAAACTTAAAGATGGAGCATTTTTTGGCTTAAATAACATGGAAGAACTGTAAGTACTAGTAACTTGTTTTAGTCACTGTTTTCCTTGCTGGGACAAAAGGTTCAGGCTTTTTAGAGGATTCAGTTCCATAGGCAGATGGCTCCAAGACAGGAAGGGTCTGGTGAAGGAGAGCTGCTTACAGGACAGCTAGGAAGCAGAGAGAGTGCGGAGAGGAGCACAGAGGGGATACACTGTTCTAAGTGACCAACCCCTGCTGACCTCACCCACCTCCTCACTGCATATTTTGCTTTGAATTCATCAGTGGATTAATCCTGATGCATACAGCCTCCCATAATCCAATTACCTTCCAAACATGGGCTTTTGAGGGGGACATTCTGTTCCGTAACAGAACTAGCAAAGGAATCTATCTGGAACTTTTCAATGCCATTTGGATAGGATAGCTGCTTAATTATACAGAAGTACATTAGTTCCTTCTTCATTCATAAAGCTTTTTTTGAGGGTATGGTTGGGGATTGAACTCGAGGCCTTGTACTTGCTAACCACCCATTCTGCCACTGAGTTGTGCTCACAACTTTCACACATATCTTTTAATTTCCTTTGGTTACCTGGTATTTGTGTCATCATTCTTACAAACTTCACTTGTGAAAATTACCAGAATTTATCCAGAAGAAGAGTATATACCACTTGGCGTGTTGATTTGGTAGGGCTAATAATTTAGATAGTTTTAACAATCTTCTAATGCTAAATGTTAAGACATAAGAGTTTATCAAATAAAATGGATCGTTTGTGTCGCTGAGAAGGATAATAATGAAGATTTAAAAGTGCTTGCTATTGAAATGCTGCATTTTGAAATATTTTTTCGTCTTGTTCTGCAATTCTACAGAGAACTGGAACACAATAACCTTACGCGAGTGAACAAGGGTTGGTTATATGGCTTGCGAATGCTGCAGCAGCTGTATGTGAGCCAGAATGCTATTGAAAAAATCAGCCCTGATGCATGGGAGTTCTGCCAAAGACTATCTGAACTGTAAGTGTTGGGTGGTGTTTCACTGGAGGCTGTGAGGCTAGAGTCGGTTGGGATAAATCATTCCCATGGCTGGTAATGAGATCTGTTGTCCCTCTTTTCTGAAAGTTTGTTGGAAGCTTTAAATTAGTTGTATAAATATAAGGAAAATTTAAGTTGATTCAAAATCCAGTGAATTTCTTATCTTTCATATTTCCTGTTTTTAGTGATTTGTCCTATAACCAGCTGACCCGCCTGGATGAATCTGCTTTTGTGGGTCTCAGTTTATTGGAGAGATTGAATTTAGGGGACAACAGAGTCACTCACATTGCCGATGGTGTATTTAGGTTTCTTTCCAATCTTCAGACACTGTAAGTACATCTGTTTTCTTTCTTAAAAAAACAAACAAAAAAAGGAAATTAAAACAAGTAATCAGTTTGCTTTTTTTTTTATTGCTCTACTGGGGATTGAGCCCAGGGCCTTGCATATGCTTGGCAAGTGCTCTACAACTGAGCTAAACCCCAGCCCCAGTGTGCAAATTTATTTATTTTTGTGGTGCTGAGGATCGATCCCAGTGTCTCTCATATGCTAGGCAAGTGTTCTGCCTCTGAACTGCATCCCTAGCACCTTGAAAGTTCATTATGGTAAATCTTTGTGGTTCTTCTTCCTTTTGCCTCAGGGCAAGTCATTCTTACTTGTTTATATTCCATAAATAAATACTATGCCTATAGTAGACATCAGTGTTTTTTGTTTGTTGTTTGTTTTTTATTTTTATTTTTTGAGATAAGCGCTTGCTGTTATTCAAAGGCTGGTCTTGAACTCAGCCTCTCAAGTGCTGAGATTACTCAGTTTGTGTTTTAATTAGGAGTTAATCACAAACAGTAAGGCTTTTCTTATTTTGCCAGTTGTTGCTGTGTAAAATACAACTGCTAGTGTCAAGAATGCAGTAATTTTCTTGTTCTCTGACCAGAAGTATTCTCATTCAAAGGAAGTGGTGGCGCAAACCTGTAATCCCAGCACTCGGGAGGCTGAGGCAGGAAGATCGCTATGGGTTCGAGAGCAGCCTGGGCTACATAGTGAGTTCCAGGTTGGCCTCAACTACATAATGAGACTCTGTCTCAAAAAAAAAAAAAAGATCCAAAGGAAGTAGTATATGTGATGGGAGTAGCTCTGTTCCCTATTACTAGTTTGCTACATTACCTGACTTTGTACACAAGAAACTAATACTTATTATCTGATATGTGTCAGGTGCTTTCAAATAGTAGGATGGTACTAGTTTTTTCCCTACTAGGCTGAGGTTTGAGAGATTAAAATAATTACTTAAAGGCACATAGCTCATAAATGGTTGGATCAGGATTGGAATCCAGGTCTGTTTGATGCAAAAGCTAAGGTGTACTTTATACATTCAGATAAACAGGATTACTTAGCTTTCTCTGATCAACATTTTGTTTCTTCACTCGTGATTAGATGATTGTTAAAGGCAATTTTAACTTTAAAATCCTGTGGTTTTATGAGTTGAATGTTTTGCCCAGTCATGGAATATAATCTTACTGAATGATATAGAGGTTTTAAAATGAAATACTAGCAGTCCCAAATATGGAGCAGAATAAGAGGGGAAAGAAAGGATTAATTAGAATTTGTAAATTTGTATTTTATTTATTTATATTTGTAATGCTGAGGATTGAATGCAGGACCTTCTCACTGAGCTACATTCTCAGCCGTTTTAAAATTTTTTATTTTGTTAAGTCACTCAGGTTAGGCTCAAACTTATGATTCTCCTTCCTTATCCTCCCAGAGTGCTAGAATTACAGGAGTGTGCCACCATGCACACACCTGTGGATTTTTTTCTTTTTTTGGTACTGGGGATTGAACTCTGGTCCTTGCGAGGCAGGTGGTGGAACCATTGAGCTAAGTCCCCGGCTAGTCTTAATGGTTCGTAAGTAAGGAACTTCGTAGTCATCAGGTTCCTAATTAGTAAATGGTTTCAGAAAAGAGGTAGTAGGCTCCAGGCTTTGGTACCTAGATATCAATGAAAAGGAAACACAGTAATTTTGTGAAGGTGTATCTATACACACATAAGGGTATGTTTTATTTTTCCTTCTTAAGTTTTTTTAGATTTGGCCTTGAAAAATTAAAAAGCAATCCTCTTCTCTCATTTTTTTGGTACTGCGGTTTGAACTTAGGACCTTGTCCTTGCAAGGCAGGCTGCGGAATCACTGAGCTAAATCCCCGGCCCTTTCCTCTTCTTTCTTCTTTGTACATCATGAAACTAGATCAGTGCAAAGTCAGAAACATCAGAATTAGCTGCAGCCTTTTGACAATTGAAGGGATGGCAAACAAGTTTTTTGAGTATACCCTACACTGATTATTACTTTTAGAATTTAAGTTTAGAAAAGTAATTGAGGAAGTAGATAGTTATCTTATGTCACAGAAGTAAGGCAGAATTAGGATCAGATCTGAAAAACTCTGGCTTTAGCCCAGTGCTCTCTCAAGAGTAGATACATCTTACTTCAGTGAGTGATTTCTGTTTATGTTCTGCAGTAGAGGAGGGGAGTTCTGACGTGACAAGCCACTGATGGTTACTCCTTAGTAAATAAACTGTGTTGGCTTTTCACTTCAAGGAAAGATGGCTCAGCAAGAAGAGGGATTTCCTGCCTCCTTGCTGTTACTGACACAACTTTATATATGTCTTGCAAAGAAGAAAGCTTTGTGTTTTATTTTTAGATGACTTAAGGAAGCAAAAGTGATTAAATATTTTTAACTTGTATTTCTTCCGTCAACACATGATGTGGTACAGTTGCATTTCCTCTGAGAATGGAGCAATGGATTTTAAATGATCTATACTTTTCCTTTTAAAGAAAATACAGTGACTACTCTAACACATGGGTATAGCATTCTTGATTCCCAGGGGGCATGTTTAATTGCTTTTGAACTGTGAAGCTCTGTATTGATATTACTCTTTGTCAGCCATTTTAATGGCCCAGGGGGAAGCTTAGGTAGCCTGAAATCCCATTAGTTTGAAATCAGATTGTAATCCTTATCTCCTGTATCTTGAAACCCTCCCTCTTTCTGAAGGAACTTGTCTATAATTTTTAATATGCTAATACAGTTAAATGCTGTTAACGAGGAAGATTAATATTCCTAGCACATTGCTTAATTTATTTTTTAAGGCCAGATTAATTCTTAGCTTATGAGAAGCAGCTTTTCCATGTTTATCACAGAGTTTAGAAGATTCGTAGATTCATAGATTTTTTTTTTTAAAGTAGAATTGGGGGCCAGGTATTTAGTTCAGTGATGCTGCCACCTGCCTTGCAAGCATGGGGTCCTGAGTTTGATCCCTGGTACCAATAAAAGGTAGAATTGGGTCTTCATCATAAATAACTTAAAATAAAGATAAGAATTAGATGTGTACCTGCATTGCCATACCAGGATGCTGCCTGACAGTGTGATGGTTGTGTTGACTAACACAACCTCTTTCTTTGACTTTTTTTTTTAAGAGACTTAAGAAACAATGAAATTTCATGGGCCATAGAAGATGCTAGTGAAGCCTTTACTGGACTCACAAGTCTCACTAAATTGTATGTATTTGCGTATGTCTACAAAGGTACATTTTCAAGAACCAGTTGTAAATGTAATAAGATTATGTTTATTTGATACCGCCAGAAACTTTGAGCCTTCTGATCCATCTGCTAAAGGAAGGAGCTTTGTTGTTTATCAAGTGATTTGTTTTTAGTGGGGTACTTTAAATTGATAAAGCACTCCTATGGGCCCTAAAAGAAGTTATGGAATCTTTTATTAAGAGAAAAAAGGGGACTTTAACTCAGTTTCACATAGAAAAACTACCGGTTTATTAGTGGTCAGGATGGTTGTTCAGAGGTACTTCATTGAGCTCCAGCATCATAATAGGAGCCTTCATGCTGTGCTTTAAGTTCTTAAGTTTATAGCTTTCTCTTAAAAATGAATGTTTTCATCAGACTGTACACTTTAAATATGTGTAGTTTAAAAAAATCAATTATATCTCAGTAAAGATGATACAAGTACACAAAAGGAAATATTATGCTTATTTTCTCCTTTTATAGGTAAAAGTTTAGTGAATTTATTTTTATTTCAGAGTCTTACAAGGAAACCAGATTAAGTCAATTACAAAGAAAGCATTCGTTGGTCTTGAATCCCTTGAGCATCTGTAAGTATTTCACATACACTTCTCACTGTATAACTAATCTTTGCTATTAGCAGAGCTTGTTACAAGCATATAAAAAACATTTATATGACTTAATTGGAGAAATGGTGACTGATGATGTTTCATTTCTCTTCATTTCAGAGATTTGAATAACAATGCTATAATATCTATCCAAGAAAATGCTTTTTCTCAGACTCACTTGAAAGAACTGTAAGTAACTTATGTTTTTCTTTCTTTTTTAAAAAAAAATCATTAGATCACTGTGTGTGCTTTTGTGCTTACAGTGTGTTGGTGACTGAAATGTTTTCAGATGAAAAAAATAAAATGATTTCCGTTATATTAATGGCTGAGTGAAATTTAAAAATAACTCAACATTGAGAATATGGTTCCAGTGCACATAATCAGGAAACCTTAGCACTGCTGCCTGTGCTTTACATGATGTCCTGCTGTTTTTCTCCTCCTCACCCGTCTGTTGCTTTTTGAACCATCACACTCGTGTCAAACCTGTGACACTTGGGCCACATCTGGCTGTTTGTTATCATTGAAAGAAAGCTTTAAGAGGTTTGCTATCAGTGGATTATCAGAAATGTGTCCCTAGGCCTTACCCCTTGGATGGGTTAAACTTTAGGTATATGGGCTGGGGGTTTAGCTCAGTGGTGCTGCTCCCTGCCTCAAAAGCACAGCGTCCCAAATTTGATCCCCGGTACCCCCCCAAAATCTTTAGGTGTAATCTGTGATTTTGTTCTTTAGTTTATGAGTTGATATAGAACTTTCAATGTCAATATCAGAATGTCTCTAATCTGTTCAAACTAATAAAGTATTCAAAAACAATGGTTGTAATAGAAAAAAATTTTGTGTGTATGTGGTAATGGGCATTGAACCAAGAGCCTTTCCACTTAGCTATATCCCTAGCCTGTTTGTTCGTTTGTTTGTTTTTTTAAACTTCTAAAACCCTCGTGTTAAGTCACTTAAGTTATTCAGGCCTGCCTCAAACTTGGAGATCCTCTTATTTTGTCTCCTAGAGTGCTAAGTTGCATGTGCCATTATGCCTGACAAAATATATAATTTTCTACCTTTTAAAAATTTATGATTTTTAGCATTGCTGTGACAGTTTTGCCATAGTTTATAAAACCATTGATCTGCATTAGGTTGGAAATTTTAAAGACTGCTTTTACCACAGATAATCTGAAGTTGCCTGGAAAAGTGTTAGACTTTTAAACTGCCTAGGTTCAAATCCTTGTTCTCTTGCTTAGAACTTGTGACAGTGGGCAAATTGTTTAGCCTGGACTCAGTGTTTCTTCTCAAAATGAGAATAGCACCTCCCTCAGGGTTAAATGAAGGTTAAAAATAAGATAATTTGTTTATTGGAATATCTGTTGTCTGATGTTTGAGGTACTGTTCTGGATGCTAACATGCAAGAATAAACAAGACAAAGTCTCAGTTCTTGTAGCATATTACAATAAATTCTAAGGAAGATGGATAATAATCAGTAGATATAGAATATCTCTTAAGGTAGTAAGTTTGCTAAAGAAAAGTAAAACCAGGTCAGAAGCATAGAGAGTGACAGGGATTGCTGTTTTAGATAAAGTGGGGAGAAGAGACAGCCTTTGAACCAGGACCTTTATGAAATGAAGTGGCAAACCATGTGACTGCTGGGTGATGGCTGGGACAGGGAAGTGAAATGCAGTCTGATGTGAGCAAGAGCCAGATCATGTGGAGCCAAATAGGCTGAGGTTTTTTTTTGTCTTTCCTTTTGTTTTCCTAAAAGTTTCCTTGGAAACTTGGAGTGTTTGAGAAAATGCTGAGCACAGGGCTTGGCACATAGTAAAAGTTGAATAACTAATACAACAAAATTTAAAATGTTAGGAAAGTCATCAGTTATTTTCAGCTAGTTTATTTATTTATTTATTTTGTGGTACTGTACTAGGGATTATATTCAGGGCCCCGTGAATGCTAGATAAGCACTTGCACTGAGCTACATTCTCAGCCTTCTGCCAGATTTTTTTTTTTTTTTTTTTGGTACCCAGGATCAAACTTAGGCCCTTGTGCTTACGAGGTAGGCAGTGGAGCCACTGAGCCAAACCCCCAGCCCTCTGCCAGATATTTAAAATGCTTTTTTTGTGGAATGAGGAGGTCTTAAGATATTTTGAGATATTTAACCTAGCCTTAGTTAATGTGTAGGATAGGATTTACTATAAATTGATTTTGTTTTTTTTTTTTTTTTTTTTTTTTTGCTAGTGATAATCTGAGGGGCATCAAGAAAATTTCTTTAGCTGTTGTTACAAGAACTTAGTGGAACATTAATTTAGATAGTATTTGAAAGCAAGTAGGCTGTAAGCTTTAGTGGTTTATTTAGTTCCTTGCTTGACCAAATCTTAGGCTCAAGACATCATAGTCCTCTGTTACTTTTCTGTAAAATAGTTTTTCCAGCTGCTGAAGTAGTTTAGTAAGTACTTTCTCACTTGAGTGAGCATCTGGGCACTTTCAATATATGGTCATGTTTCTCTGTTCAGGGTCCTAGGTCCATGCCATTCTCCAGGTGACATCTGAGCATTGTGGCCTGACTTCAACAAGAATCCTCTTAGGTCAATTTAGCCAGATTCTCCTTTTCTTCTTATGTTACTTCTTAGTAGTGTTCCATCCGCTGTTCCCCACCTACTCCATGGCTATAAATTTCTACTTGTCCATTCTGTCTTTGGATTTGAGCCCAATTTCTCTCCCCCATTGCTAAATTCCATTGCAGTGGTCTCTGTACTGTATGAAATGGCCTTGAATCAAGTCTGCCTTACCATACTTTAACAAACATCTTTGAATAATTTTTAACAGTTAGGTTGCTGTGGCTTGGATAGAATCAGATTCATCATTGGATCCCCAGACCTCTCCTACAGGACCCGAAGTATACACCTTTGAAGCCTTTGTCTTCACTCCTGACTGATTGATTGTTCGGGGATCCAATGGTGAGTCAGACTGGTGAACCATTTCTCAGGACAGTGTCTGTTGAAGCTGGTAAGGAGAGATTTTGACTCCTAAGCTTCTGACTATACTTTCTGAAGCTATGATAGAGTACTAGGCTTCTTTTGAGAGGTACCTCCTAGCTGGAAGGATTCTCCCTGGCCTGCTTTCCTGAGTGGAGATTATTCTCTGACTCCCTGGACTGGACATACCTCCTGGTACCCTTTGAGGCTTTTCTATTCCATTGGAACTTCTGTCACCTGATTCTTCTCTTGATCTCCCGCTATGTACTCTGCTAACTTTTGTCTGCTTCCTTTGTGCTGGAACTTCACTGACCTCTGGAAAATTTAAGATCTCCTCTAAGGTCTCTTCCCCTCTCCTCTTCCTATTGTTGTTGCCACTTCTTCATACTTTTCTTTTCTCTAGTATTGGGAATTGATCCCAGGGCCTCATTCATACTAGGCAGGTGCTCTGTCTCTGACCTACATCTCCAGTTTTTTTATTTTGTCTTGATACAGCTCTCACTAAATTGCCCAGGCTGGTGTTGAACTTGTGATCCTCCTGAAGATCTCCCAAGTAGCTGGGCTTAAGGGTGTGGACCACAGCATCTGAGTTTTTGTTTTCTTTACTACTTTTATCTTCTCTTTTGTTCCTGTGAATCCTTTGGTATGTCCCCCTGCAAATCCCTGTCTCCTGCATCTTCCATCCACCTCCCACAGATGTTTCCTTCCCATTCTAGTCTATTCATTTGAATTTTAGGCCTCCTGTCCTCCATTGGACCTCTCAAGGGACTGAGACCTCCCGAAATTAGCCACTGCAAGGTGAAAAGGAAAAAGACTGAATAGAAATAGACTAAATATTTTATCTACATTGAAAAGGAAAAAGACTGAATAGAGGTAGACTAAATACTTTATTTACACTGACATTAGAAATACACAAGTAGCCCTCGGTTGTCTCTTTAACTTGTATAAGATTACATATCGGGGCAAAAGAAAATCTTCAATATCTCTTAAATATAGTTGCTCCCCTTTAACTATGGAGAATATACTCCAAAACCCCAGCAAATGGGACACAGTATTGAAATCTATATGTCTTATATCTTTTCCTGTAGCCTCTCTGCACCATTGACCCATAATAACAGGATTAATCTGTCTTATGTTTTATGTCCTGGAGCCTCCTTTACATCACTGTTCTTGTATTTTGGGCCATTATTAAGTTATAAGGATAGCATAACAGTTAATAACCCAGATGGTCACTAAATGTCTAGTAGGCGGATAGCATATATAGTGTGGCTACACTAGGCAAAAGGATGATTCATTTTCTGAGCAGGGTGGCAAGAGATTTTGTCATGCTGCTCAGAATTGCACACAGTTCAGAATTTATGACTTGTTTTATTTCTGGAATTTTCCGTATATTTTTGGTTCCAGTGATTCTGGGTAATTGAAAGTATGGAAGCAAAACCACATACCATTGCATGGTAAACTGCTAATTTTTTTCCATTTTTTTGTCAGAATCAATTTGTGTAAAAATGAAAAATAGAGGATGCTATATGTGGTGGTGTTACTTGTAATCCTAGCACTCAGAAAAAAGGTTGAAATGAAACAATGATCAAACCAGGAGGATACTAACCAAAATATTTCTGTATAGCAAAAATATTGTTAAGCCAAATATTTTATGGCAAAATAATTTCTGAGAGGTGTACTATATAATGAGGAAATACTGATTTTACTAGAACACTACGATAATTCTAAGTTTGTATGAACTTTATAATCCAACTTCAGACTATAAAGAAAAAAGCTGACTGAACTATAAGAAAAATTTGACAGATCCATTGTAGTAGAAAATTTTAACATAGCCCTCCCAGTAATTCTTAGTCAACATACTAAGGTAAGGGTATAGCAGATGGAACGTTCTTAACACATTTAATTTTTGTGAATGTATATAGAGCCCTGTTCCCAGCTGTTGGGAGACCAATAGTTTTTTTTTTTTCAATTACATATTGGATATGTGGGAAAATAGATCACACTTTAGGCCGAGAAAATAGATCACACTTTAGGCCAAGGGTTTGCAAACATCAAGGAGTAGATGGTAAATACTGTATTTTGACTTTGTGGGTCATATGATCTTTGTTGTAACTATTAAACTTTGATTTTATCAGGTAAAATCATAGACAATATGCAAACATTGGGTGTGGCTATATTCCAATAAAATTCTATTTACAAGTGATGGACCACATGTGGCCTGTAGGTTTTAGTTTG